GCCACATGGAAACGGATTGGGATTCATGACAGCACTCCCTATATCCAGCCACCCTCAAACAACGGTCGCATTTCATCTACTAAACACAGCGCCCATCCCTTCTTTCTGCTTAACCCCCTATAATTTAGACAGTAGCAAGCCATGTCAAATGCAAAAATTTGAAGGTGACAAAGTGAGAAACCAAATTGTTCAGTAATTTTCTCTCCCTTCCCTCACTCCTTGCCTGGCATGAGTAAGCACTGGGAATAAATGAGTATTTACTCCTGCAGAAATTGCTGCTTTCTTGTGTTGCAGGTTGAGGAGGGTGTGTCGGGCAGGTACAGCCCAGCTTTGTTCCAGGATTCGTGTTCAGATGAGGGCTGGAGTCGAAACCCTCTAATTATTATACCTGCTTGCTTTTAGCAACTCTGGCAAATCTTTTTGAAGAAAAAACCCCACAGGGTTCCATCAGTTGTAACAGTTGCGGTAGTTTCTATCACTGTTATAGCATTATCATTGTCATGGTTCGTAATGAGGGAAAGAAGTCTGTCTAGGAAAAAAATAATTACTTTTTGATTTGTGCATGGAGTGGGAGAGAAGCCTGAGGGAAATTAAGTAAATACCCCTGGTGGATTTTTTTGAATTTTTCCTGAGCCACTGTATTGTTGGACTTGAATGATTAGTAAAGAGAGAAAAGCACAAACAGATGATTGTTTCTGAAAGTGAATTTGGATTCAGCTTTATTTGTGATCCTCTTCCATACGCTGTCTCTCATGGTTGGAATGTGAGAAGTTTCCAGCATGAATACTTGTGAAAGTGTATTTTAGGCTTGGATGCTTCAATGCTTGTTGGAAATCTGTCTGAATATATAATTTCCTTTGTGGTCACATTAGCCAATTTAGGATTCAGGTGTTGAGTAGTTGCAGAAATCCCCCTGTCAGGGCCTAGAAACGATCTCATTACCAGGTAGTCTGTGCTACACCATGTGCATTTCAAAATGAGATGATCTTTTTTTCTAGGCTATTTATATTTAGGGAATAAGCCCTGATAGAGCACAACACTGAAGCATTTGCTTAATTTTAAGTATACTGAGTAATCCAATTTGGAATGGACAAGTGCTATACTGAATTCTTTAGGGACATAGTGATAGTGCCCGAATATATGAACAATTGTTTTCTTATATTTGTACACAAAAATGTTCCTAGAACTGGTCAGCAGTGTGGAGTTGATCATGGGCATGTTTGCAAATTAAGCCCTGATCAAACAGACAAATATTGATGAGTGTGATGTAAACTGAAAACAGGTAAAGTTTGATTGAGCATTGCAAACTCTTACTGTGGCATTATGCTCAATTTTTGGTAACGCAACCAGTTAAAAACCTAGGTATTTGAAAAACTTGGAGTGGAAGCTTAAACAATTTGCTGGGGGGGAAGAGCCTGGATTCTGCCTTTTCTCTTTACTTTTACTATTAATATAAATCCCACTGTAAAAGATTTAGAAAAAGGAATAAACTTAATTAAAAAAAATTCTTACTTCCCTATTTTTGCCAACCTTTTTTTTTCCTGCTAACTGCACAGGAATATCAGAAGCTCTTAGAAGAAAGGCAAAACATTTGTGTTCCATATTTGAAATTATTATTTTCCTACAATTTCTATGGCCTCTTCTGTGGTGTTACAGTGTGACTTCTAGCGTAGACAGGTTGCTGACTACTACCACGGTACTATATCCCAGCTGAGGAAAGTGCTTGAACTGGAGCTCCAAGCACTCTTGCTTTGTGTCTTTCTGAGCATGATGGTGATTAAATTGCTAGCAGATGTATGGCGCGTTGCTGATGCTACCGCGACTGCAGTGCTGGCAACAGCAGAAATATCAGCAGTTGTTGGAACAGCTTGGGCAGGAGGCAAAGCACAAGCAACTTGTAGGCAAGTCATCCTCTGAAGTTGAGATGAGGCCAAAGCAAAATCCCAGATCTAAAAATGAGGAGAAAATTCAAATGTATCTCCAAAAGGTATGACTGAAAACATGCCCTATAGTATCTTTAGCCCTTGATTAGAAGATTAACCAGGTTGTAGTAAATGCATAGGGAGTTGCTATAGTGGAGCCAGTTCAATACTCTGCTGAGTAAAGAACTAAGTCAGAATCTCACAGTAAGATACAGCTTGATCTTTCCAATGGAGACCCAAATGTGCCTTCATTAGTATACTTTGTTTGTTGTGTAGTATGCCGTAGGGGAATTTCTTTCCAAATGTTTCAAAAATTAGTTTGTGCTCAAATATGAAAATATTATCATTTATACCTTTGCATGCTTAGCTTTAAATAATGGCAGAGATTCTCAACTTGTTAAAAATAATTCTTCAGTTGAAGCAATACTAATTTAAACCCAATATAGACCTTGCATAGTAGTATCAGTCATTGAATTAGCTACTGCTTTTAAAAAGTCTAGCTGGAGTGTTTGATTTTTTGGCTAATTCCATGAGCTGGTCATATGGTTTGTAAAGAAGTATTTCCTTCTGGTTGTTTTAAATTACTTGCTGGTCACTTTGTTCTAATCCTCCCATTCTTTCAACACCATTGCTCTACTCCCTATGTTACTAGTGGTTCTAAATACCACAGTAAACTCCTTTATAATTCTTCTGTTTCAGACTAAATTATCTGTGATGTATTCAGATTTGGATCCTAGCAGTCCTATTCCAAAACCTTCTCCTGGGCCAACTGTCCTCTCTTGTCACGTGCAAGTCGTGTCCCCAAGCTAGGATGCCATCCCTGTGCCACTTTACTTCACATTCCCGAGTGCCCAGCCCAAGGCACCAGCTCCCTGCCTCTTTCTTCCTGCATCCCCACCAGGGAAGGTGAAGCCACCTATGCCCACCCACTCATGTACAATGGGAGGGCCCTCCTGGAGGACACCCAGCACTCTGGATCTGCTCCACATATGGTCTCCTGTCCCAGGACCATACATGCTGCCACATCCTCATCTCCTTCCCTGACACGTGACTTGGCAAAGCTTCTCCTCAAGCTGGTGAAGAGGCACAGGGGGATGCCAGGGGGGTGGCACTGCCTGGAAAGCAGCACTTGGCACAGACAGCAATAGCTGTTCCAAGGTAGTTTTCATGAGAGATGAGTTGTTTGCTTGATGACTAATGAATTTGCTTTAAAAGCACATTTTGGCTCATTCTAGGTGTTGTTTGCAAATGTATTTTGAATTGGTGTGTGTGAAAATCATTTGGGAGGAGCAGCCTATATTTACTAAATACCTTCAGGGAGGAGTGCTGCTTTCCCCACACAACAGCCCAAAGGTTGGCGTTTTCAAACAAAGCTTGGACCCCTGATTCCCTCCCTCTTCTTCCTCTCTCTGGAAGGGGACTGCCCAGGTTGTCCCCAACAGCCAAAGGAGAGTCTGCTGAACAGAGGTGCACTCAGCAGCACAAAATGGAGGGATTTTGTGCTAGCTAAATATTTATTGAGGCAAGTTGGGAAAAAAAAAAAAAAAAAAAAAGGAAAAGAGAATCTAGCTTGGTAGATAGGACATAGACTCCTAAAACTTGATATGAATTTCAGCCTAACTGCTGTGAGTGTTTCAACATTACAGAAGCTGCACTAACCTCAACAGGAAAGATAATTTTTTCTATTCCAGAATGCCACTTCCACTTTGGTTTTATTTTCTTCTATGCAATTTCCATTTTCTCATATCTGTAGAAATTTTGTGTGTGCATGGCAGGCTACATGTACTCTTCTGGGCTCTCCAATGTTTCGTGCTTCCTCCAAGCTGATAGGGACCCAGGCTGCCAGCGACAGAAGCTCTTGTCCTGTCTTCCCTTCTCCCATTTAAGGGCTGTAAATTCCTTCTCTCTCCTCTGCACCAGAGCTAGCGCTGTGTGGTTTGAAGGAGACTCCTTAGAACTTCTTCCTAATATCTAATCTGAATCTACCCTCTTTCACTTAAAACCCATTACCCCTTATCCTATCACTACACTCCTTGATAAAGACTCCCTCCCCATCTTTTCCGTAGGCCCCCTTTGAGCACTGGACAGCTGCTATAAGGTCTCCTTGGAGCCTTCTCTTCTCTAGGCTAAACAAACCCAACTGTCTCAGCCTGTCCTCATTAGAAGAGGTGCTCCAGCCCTCTGACCATCTTTGTGGCCCTCTTCTGGACTCATTCCAACTGGTCCATGTACCTCTTATGTTGGGTATCCCAGAGCTGAAGGCAGTGCTCCAGGTGGGGTGTCATGAGAGCAGAGCAGAGGGGAAGAATCACGTCCCTCGACTTGCTGGCCTTGCTTCTTCTTATGCAGCCCCGGATGCAGTTGGCTTTCTGGGCTGTGAGTGCACATTGCTGGCTCATATTCAGTTTTTCATCCACCAATACCTCCAAGTCCTTCTTCTCAGGACTGCTCTCAATCCATTCTCTGCCCAGCCTGTATCTGTGCTTGGGATTGCCCTGACCCATGTGCAGGACCTTGTACTTGAACTTCCTGAGGTTTGCATGGGCCCACCTCTCTAGCCTGTTAAAGTCTCTCTGGTTGGCATCCCTTCCCTCTGGAGTATCAATCACACCACTCAGCTTGGCATCATCTGCAAACTTGCTGAGGGTGTGCTCAATACCACTGTCCATGTTCCTGATGAAGACAAATAATACTGGTCCCAGACCCCTGAGGAACACCACTCGTCACTTGGACCTGGAGCCGTTGACTGCAGCTCTTGAGTGTGACCATCCAGCCAATTCCTTATGTACTGCGTGGTCCACTGACTGAATGGTCCACCTGTCAAATCCATGTGTCTCCATTTTAGAGACAGGGTTGTGTGTGGGACAGAATGAAATGCTTTGCACAAGTCCAGGTAGATGACATCAATCACTCTTCTGTTACGCACCGATGCTATAACCCAGTTGTAGAAGGCCACCAAATTTGTCCCTTTTTGCTGAGTTTGGTCTTACGCTGTCATGTAACTGCACCCTGTAGTAGCAGTATTTTCCCTGGCTGAGGCTCAGCCATCCTCTGAATGCTGGGCACTGGGCCAGCGCAATGCCAGGGGCTGTAGTTTCCACCGGCATCACCGGAATTAGCTTGCTGATGGTAACGTTATTGGCGCCAGCCTAGGAACGGAGCGGGGAGGGGGCGGAAAATCGATGTGTAAGCTTTGACCGTGCTGCTGCCATGAGTGAGGCTTGTTGAATGAAAGAGTTGGGCAGAAACCAAGTGAAGTGGTGGTATGTAGGGCTGCTGCAGACCTGAGGTGTTAATGATGTGCTGGCTAGGAAGTGTAAAGTGGGATCTGAGGCAAATTAAGCTCTTATAGTTATAGTATTTCCATATGGAGCTACTGTTACGCATGCAGCTGCACTAACATTTGTGATGAGCATGGAAGGGTAAACGGTGTTAGATGCTTCTGTTGTTCCTTGTCATTTCCCTTCCCTTTCTAAAAACACAGTAACAAGAACATAGGGGGGAAAAAAGCAGGTGGCATTACTGAAATATGGATTCTGTAATTCTTACAGGGTATGAAGAATGATTTTTTTTTTTATGATTACAATATACCAAGTGTGAATTGGATCCTTCTCAAAGCGAGGAACTAATTACGCTGCCTACAAGTTGGAATAATGTGAGGGAGTACCACACAATCCTCCCATTGTGCTGCCAGTGCACCTGCACAACATCTTCTGTTCTATGTCCAGACTTCTTTTAGGCAATGTTTATTTGTGTCTTGTGTGGCTTGCAGTAAGATACAAGTTGCCAGTAAGCGTCAGAGTAGACAATATCTTGTCTTTTAACCCTGACAAGATATGGAAGTATCATGGTGAGTAAAGGTAGGGTAACCGGACTCTCGCAGAGATGTTTGTCCTGTCTCTGTTTGCCTTCCAGAGTTCTGGTTCACTGTTAATTTTATAACTTTAAATCCCCAATCTTTATTGATCAGCAGTAAGGTTTTGGCATTTCCATTTCTCTGCTGTGAAGAGTTATGTGTCATTTTCCTTTCTTTCTCCTCAAATATGAATCCTCTCTAGTTTCATTGTGATCAGTTATTCTCACGTTACATAAAACAGAGCACAGAAAGTCTGTCTTTTCTCTGTGCCATTTCATTATTTTGTATAATTGCATTAAGACTCCTGTAATCTCTCCTTCGTAAGGTAAATAGTCAGTCTTTTCTGTCTCTTCTTATATTAAAATTTATCCAAATCCTTTATTATCCCTACTACTATTATTCTCTGAATCCCTTCTAACATTGGAGTGCCCATTTTTTTGAGATGCTGTTCCCAGTGCAGCATTGTGGCACAGCAAAGATAATGCTGATCTACATTACAGCAATGTTACCTCCCCGCTGGCCACCATTTTGTTCCTCATTTATCCTAATTTTTTTTTTTAACTACCATTAAGAATTTCATTTAGAAGAGTGGTCTTCCTTGAGAAGTGTTCTGTGACCCTGAGGTGTCTTTACTGAATTGATAAAGTTTGCTTTAAGAGGTATTAGAGCATTTGTAATTACATTCTCTCCCTCTAGTACAGGCTGCTTTTAATGTTGAGCTTATCATGATACTGCCTTTTCATCCAGCTTTTTTTAGGTTTATCTTGAAATTCTTCACTGTCATTTCTGGTCTTTCCTCACCCAAATAATTGTGTGTTAGCTACAGACGTTGCCACCCCATTGTTCATCTTCTCTTCCAGATCAAGAATAAATGTAGTAAACAACACAGAACTGAGTTTACCGAATCTTTTTCCTCATGCGAAAAAAAGGTTATTTGGACACTTCAGTTAGACTACTCAGATGATTTCATAAATTTTTTGTTATTTAGATTTCAATAGCTAAAAGACCTAGACTGCTGCTACTTTTTTTCCATACAAAAACCAGAATGAAACTAAAGCTCTACCAAATTTGTCTTACAGACCCTGTCCAGAAGAATTTCAAATCCGTATTTGGAAACTCCTTCAAACAAGGTACATGTCAAGCTCCTTTTTAATTCCATTTCATCAGAAAACATATTAGGAATCTTTTTGCTTTGGTTCAACCTCTTAATTGTAGCTTTGAAGACACTTGTAAATGTGGCCTGCAGTTAAATCCAGTTAACAAGTCATAATTAATGTGTGTTAGAAATTGTCTACTTTTATTACTGAATTTGCAAACTGAACTGTTGTGAAATCGAATGTGCACTTGCTTCCCAGCCATTTAAACAATTGCCACCATTTAGCTTACTTTTGCAATATTTGAGAGCTCTGGTTTGCTTCTCACAAGACTTTACTGCCTCAGGACTCTATTATATACCTTGGAAGATTCCTAAACATAGGAGACAAACAAAGAAAAAAAGAAGGTGAGGAAACATCACAGCAGAAGCCTGAGTTAAATTCATCAGTAGGGAGTGGTATACAGAGTCCAAATGGAACATGGTTTTATGGAAGATGGAGCTGGGTCCTGTTTTGATAGACCCATCTGCAGCCTTGAGGTGTAAGGTAGAAATCTGGTGTGGGGGAAGTCAGAGATGTGTCCATTCTGAAAGACCACATCCTCCTGGCAAGGTACGGATGAACCGACCTGTAACTATCATAGGATAACTCCAAAGTTTCTGAACAAAAAGAAAAAACCCTAAGAAATGGTGTTTCAATGTGTATGAGGCTTGTATTAAACTATTTAACTCAAATACATATGGAATAATGTTTAATTTTAACTGTATTTGTGTGGTTTTGCAATGGTTAATATAGTCTTTTTGCTTTGCTAGAGTAACACTTGTTTTCATTTGAACTTGTCTGTTGTTCAAAGTTAAAGCTGAAAGATAGGAAACCCTCTGCTTTCCTACAGCAGTGAATGTAAAAGTGGGGGCATCTGCAACCCATGATACAACTGGGTACGGCAGAAGTCGGGGTGCATTTCCAATGAGGCTTTGACTGCTTGCTTGTCATTTAGCTGGGGAGAAGGCATTGCTCAGAGGGAGGGAGCGGACAGT